CCCACTGACTGCAGCACAGATGATGTAAAAGATGAGTTTTACAGAAAGCTCTCCGACCTTCTCCGAAAAGCTAGGCGCTCTAATGTAGTAATAATGGCCGGTGACTTTAATGTTCAAGTAGGTAAACTAAGCGATAGGGAAAGACACATGGGTGGATCTTATGGTATCATGGCTCAAAGAACAAATAATGGCGACCGTCTGTTGCAGCTATGCTCAGATAACCGCCTGTTTCTTGCAAACACTAACTTTGAACATAAGGAAAAACATATTTTGACATGACGACCCCAGAATTCGTCCCAACGTTGGACCCAAATAGATCACACCGCTATCGGCCACCGATGAAGAGGCTCGATAGAAGACTGTCGCTCATTCTGAAGCACATACTTAGACTCAGTTCATGCTCCTGTGCGAGCGCGTATCTGTCTGCGTCTTACTGGACGTAGGAAAGACGCTGCAAGGAAACCTCTTAGGGCCCTACTTAATGATAGTCAAGCTAAGAGTATATTTCAGGAACAACTAGGAAAACAGTTAGGCAGCCATGTAGGTGATGCCCACCCCGATGCAGCATGGAATGATATCCGAAAAGCTGTGGAAACAGCAGTGATATCTGCTAGTACAGTAAACCATAAGGTTAGGAAGCAACACTGGATCTCAGCAGCATCTACCGCACTGATAGGTGCTCAAAAATTCATTCTATGTGGCTCTGAACATAACGAAGAGCGGAGTTAGCTTAAGCGTAAGCTGTCAAAGAAGCCTACGCAATGATCGCGAACAGTGGTGGGTAGCGAAAGCAAGAGAGATGGAAAAGGCAGTAGCAATAGGTAATAGCAGACAATTGTTCAGACTCGTTAAGGAAACCGGAATTAGGAATCCGACTGTTAGCGAAACAATCTCAGAGAAAGATGGACATATCATACATTCTCAATCCAGGAGACTGGATTGATAAGTAGGACACTTTATGGATCAGTTCAACTGGCCTTCAGCCACACTTCGGTTTCCCACGATCTCCAGTCAACCTGAATGGCAAGTTAGTGTAGGTCCTCTGACTCTTTACGAAGTTGAAAAAGCCATAGGAAATCTGAGGCGAGAGAGAACAGCAGGCCCTGACAGGTTTACCCCTGAGATTTTTAAGGATGGCCGTCCAGTTTTAGATGGTAGTTGGAAATAGTCAACAGGAAACCCTGGACCCGCGTTTCGTGCTACTTGGCACTCGTCAGCAAGCTGTACCTGTAATCTTGAGGGAACTGGTGCTTCCCGGCGGATTCGATCTCGTGTCACCCAGCTTCACAGTCAGAGACGTTACAGCTGAGCTATCCGAGCCATGACTAACCACAATTGATTGATCGAGTCACCTAGACTGGTGGGCTCATTGCAACATGATCGATAGCATTCGATCTGCACTAATAAGGACTAGACAAGAATGACAATGATCACCACCCAGTGATCAATCAATTGTGATTACATCTCAGTCCTACAGGAGGTTAGTCACGGCTCGGATAGCTCAGTTGTAACGTCTCTGACTGTGAAGCTGGTTGACACGAGATCGAATCCGCCAGGAAGCACCAGTTCCCTCAAGATTACAGGTACACCTTGCTGACGAGTGCCAAGTAGCACGAAACCCGGGTCCAGGGTTTCCTGTTGACTACCTCCAACTACCATCTAAATCTCAATACATAGTGCCCGCAGTGTCGAGTCACCTAGACTGGTGGCCACATTGTAACATGATCGATAGCATTCGATGTGCACTAATAAGGACTAGACAAGCATGAAATTGATCACCACCAGTGATCAATCAATTGTGATGGCGGTCCAGTATTAGCAGTAAGATTACCAGAGGCCTTAAGTAGAATTTGGGAACTGGACGTAATCCCATCTGACTGGTCTCAATCACTGATTGTGCCAGTCTATAAGAAAGGACAAAAGTCCTCTTGTGACAATCACAGAGGAATCAGTTTGACAAATATAATATCTAAAATATTAGCTTCAATAATACTTCGACGCCTAACTAAAGCTCGTGAAGAGCAGACTAGAGAAAATCAGGCTGGTTTTCGACCTGGACGTGGTTGTACAGATCATATGTTCACACTACGTCAGGTTCTAGAACAGAGACACACGTTCAGACGCCCCACAATGGCAGTATTTCTCGACCTTAAGGCGGCATTCAACTCTCTGGATAGTAAGGTTCTATGGCAATGTTTGTCACTGAAAGGAGGACCAAAGAAGTACATTAACCTTATAAAGGCTCTCTACTCGAACACAACTGGTAGAGTGAGAGCTTATGGCGAACTGTCATCAGAATTGATTACCTCAAGTGGTGTTTGTCAGGGCTGTTCACTCTCTCCATTCTTGTTTAACTTTGTCGTCGACGTACTTTTAGAGATAACACTTTCCTCGTCTAGATTTCCAAGGGTTGAACTTCTAACGGGAGGTTCACTTGTTGACTTGGAATATGCCGACGATATAGTTCTATTTGGTGAAGACGCTGACAAAATGCAGAGTCTTCTGACCACTCTAAGCAACAATGCAAGCATGTTCGGGATGCGATTCTCTCCCTCGAAATGCAAAGTTGCTTCAGGATTGGGTCGCATGGACACCCTAAATAGCGATAGGGAGTGAAGTAGTTGAGCGTGTCGACCGCTTCACTTATCTTGGAAGTCTCATCAGCCCTTGTGGTCTGGTGTGTGACGAAATCTCAGCACGGATACAGAAGGCTCGAATAGCCTTTACCAACTTGCGTCATTTATGGCGTAGGCGAGATATCCGTCTATCAACCAAAGGATGCGTTTACTGTGCAGCAGTTCGTTCAGTCCTACTTCATGGCAGTGAAACATGGCCGGTAAGAGTAAAGGATATTCGTAGGTTACTAGTATTCGATCATAGGTGTCTTCGAAACATTGCTCATATATCCTGAGACCATTGAGTAAGTAATGCAGTTGTTAGGAAACGGGTACTAGGTAAGGATGGCAAATCGATTGATGAAGTGGTTAAACTTGATCAGTTGAGATGTCTGGGACACGTGTTACGTATGCAGAACGACCGACTGCCTCGATGTGCTATGTTCAGTGGTATAGGAATAGGTTGGAAGAAAGCTAGGGGCGGTCAGACCAAAACATGGCACAAGTCCATGAAGTCACTGACAAGTGGACTGATCCACGTTGGTAGGTGTAGACTACCTGGTTAGTATCAGCGAGATGATAGCAATCGATGGTTAGAGACCCTGAATGACATGGCTCAAAATCGTTTGCAATGGCTCAGGTGCATCCATTCTTTGTGTTCTCCCAAATTCTAATCCCCTGAATCCTCCTTTTCTCTTTTTTTTTCTCCTTCCAAATTTATCTCACTGGATTATACTCTTTAAATAACTTCTTCAAACCCTAATTTTTCCGATCACTGCTTATAGTCTTACCGCCTCTATCACTACGGGATTTGAATCGACCACTGCATCTCTGTGCTAATGTGGTGTGGCAACTCGAACTGATGTACGTACGTACGAAGTTCTACGTTGTTACTGACTGAAACTATTCATATTATAAGCTTTATTTTGACCCATAAAGTATTATTATACGTTTTACCATTCTTGAGTTATACCCAGCACATTAATTACTACCTCTCTTATTTACAGCCACATCTGGCTAATTCTTGTACAAATGTTGTTTAATATTTTATTGATACGTTGTGGTTTGCTTGATTGGTATATAAACTCAATATGTTTGAAATACAATGATTCATATCGCAGAAACTCGGATTGGTGTTCTGGACTTAACTGGCTGGGAAGCAGAACCAATCAGGACTCTAGGCTGTTCGCACGTGTTTTACGCGTCCGAATCATAATTACTAGTATAGGGGTTGTGGAGATTATTAAGTTTTTGATTGAGATCATGAACCGATTAATGTTAGACCATCACAGTTGAAAACCTGGAAGCACTGGACGGCCGTTTCGTCCTATTGTGGGACTCCTCAGCAGTGCGCATCCACGATCCCGCGAGCGGGATTCGAACCCAGGGCCTTCGGTCTCGCGCGCGAACGCTTAACCAACTGGACCACTGAGCCGGCATCCAATGGTGGATGCGCACTGCTGAGGAGTCCCACAATAGGACGAAACGGCCGTCCAGTGCTTCCAGGTTTTCAATTGTGATGGTCTAACATTAATCGGTTCATGATCTCAATCGAATCATAATTCACTGCTCTCTAATCGGCGGTCACAAGTTATAACAGAAGGTATTAGCAACATATCATTGGAAGTTTATTTTCAAAACATTTAATCCGATGAACGGATGGAGTGTGGCATGACATGGATCAATTTTATCTTATGTGGATGAAAAGTAGGGGTTCCCTAGATACGGCCTTAACCAAAAGCATAAACTGTTGATCAGAGAGCTAAGAGATGAGTCGAAATGTTCATCATACGAACCTAACTGAAAAAGCATGAACAAAAAACAAAAACTTAAGAGACGTTGACCATCAAGGTTCAAATTTCTATCCAGATTTTTGCCTGTTGAGTTGCCTCTTCAATTAGTTACTAAATTTTAAATTATACAGATGGTAATAACATCACACAAGACGCTGCAGAACAGTGTAGAAACGTCGGAATTCTCGATGGAATTAGGACAAAGTGACTTTTTGTTACATACTCATAACGTGAAATACAGAATTTAATTTCGATTTATTATTTATAGCTCACCTAATGATGATGATTCTTTTAATTTTATCATTCTAAAGAATATTAATAACAGTGATATGCAATGATAAGCTAAGTGGGCATCGGTAGAATATTCCTTATGAAATAATTTCACATTTATTGTTATACATGTGAAGACACTATGGTCAACAGCTAGCTTATAACCTTACCCTAGAATAATTTTGACGTGAAGAGCTTCTAAAATAGCCTTATATGTTTGTTATAAACGAAGTTTAAAATGAATTACACACACCATAGTCAATGCGCATTTATATTTCAAATGGCTCTCATATAGTATATATACACGCATATATATATATATATATATATATATATATATATATAAATCAAGATAAGTCTGTATTGGAAAACTCTGGAAAAATAACTGGTTTCATATTAGTAACAATTGTTAATTCGACATTTAAACGATCATTCAGTTTTGATTCCTCATCATCGCATTGATTCGATTCGGTCAAATCGAGTTTATTCAACAATAACTTCATAGACTTGGCAATAACAGGTAAATTAGGTAAAGAAAGTTGCAGTTTATTCCAATACCATTTTCGCATATTCCATGCACGTGAAACTTGGGAACTGAAATAAAACATGACGAACAATAAAATGAGTTGTTGGGAAAAACCCACTTCAAAGCATTTGATTTTTTAGATGGAGAATAAGTTTTAAAACTATTAACGTATAGCACGAATTCCAAGCATTGTAACAGATCTCATTATCACTTTAATTACCCTAATGTTACGCCCCGATAAGCATAATGGATGGTAACTTTTCGGATCCATTTATGGACCAGTACTATGAGTATATTTTTATCGTATAGTTGTTAAATAACTAAACTATTCATATTTATGTTCCTCTTATTATGAGCCTTGTTTTGATTTATTATACTACCTCCCACATTTGGCCAAATTTTGTATAAGTGTCGTTTCCTATTTTATTGGTACGATGTAGTCTGTCTGGTTGGTATATAAACTGAGTATGTTTGAAATAAATGATTCATATTGTAGAGGCTGAGATTGGTGTTCTGGACTTAACCGGCTGGGCTAAGCAGGAAGTAGGACCGATAAGTACTCTGGACTGCTCGTACGGATTTTATGCGTCATTGGTCCGATCGATAATTCACTGCTCTCTAATTGGCGGTATCATTACGTTATACATTAACAGGGCACACATGCCACAAGTTATAACACCCAATTTCAGTAATCCTTTCATATCACTAGACCTCACTGAAAATGCCGCTTGGATTCGAGAATCTGAACAAGATCATTGAATTACCACTAAAACGACTAGCTAGGTATCACTGATAATTTATTACATACAGGAAAATGAGATTTCTTACTTTTCAGGTGGAACTGAGAACAAACATGCGTGAGAACCTTTAGAAAAATCCTTAAACTTTTCAACTAGGAAAATTTTTCCACGTAACAAAATCCAAGTGAGCAGATGGACATAATTTTATAGACGTTGCAAACCAGCATCACACAATTAATCCCAACGTTAACGAATACTGCCCGTAATAAAGCTTCAATTGTTTAAACTGTTGGATGATAGTTTTATAAATAAGAAAAAATTGGTATTGTACATGCAAAAATCTGTTTTTAGATCGAACAGGTGTTTCTGCAATGATTTTCGGTAAAAACTTTCAACTAATAAATGCCAGTAATTTAAAATTTTCCTTCCTTATCAAGCAGTATTTTAAGTGGCAGTATGTCAGCTTATGGATACAATTGCATACAACTGAACTGTTTTATTTTACTAAAATCCATGACTCACTTTGTTTTGCCGATGCATAATATACTTTTCCGTAAGAGGCGCCAAGGTTCGTGGTATACAGCCCAAGATGGGTGATCAAGCAGTAAAAATGATAGATCCAATGCATCAGAAAATCTTCCTACGAAATTCATTATAAACAACATTATGTTAAGTAATTGGTAGGTAGTATAACAGCAAAAATGTAAGATAAAACCTTGACATCTAATCTTCACATACAACTGGTAAAATTAACAGGGTATGAGGAAAGATTATATTTAGCAGTCATAACATTGATGGACTAAAGAATGCTAAAAACATGACATATAGTATTCCATTTCTAATTTATATTCGTAATGAAGATCTTCAAAACAATTTTTAAAAAAAGACAGTTTGAGCATTTTTACTAATCTACAATCAAAACCTATCACTAAAATAAAACTACAGTAATCAAGGTCTTTAATCAAATAATTGATAAACAGTGAATTTAGAAACGTTCTTTCAGTCTATATTAAATAAACAATGAACTTTATAAAATGAAGTATAAAATTATACATAATTTTTCGACTGATGATGAAGCACTGAGATTAAAGAACATTTCACTGGTGTAACGAAGACTAATTGACATCCTTAACGTAGGAGAGTTTTATTTAATCTCTTTGAATTGTAGAAGATAAAAAGAGAACGATATAACATTAAATTAAAATAAAACTGCAGTGAATTTTTTTTTAATCGTCCCATTTATAGTAGTCATTTATGATTAATGGTTGTTGGACAGATAAAGAATGTAATAAAAAAAAACTACCTACGACCAAAAGTGATCATTAATTCTATAGGTCAACTTAGTTTGTCTAAAACCTCACACTTGTCCTTAGTACTCCTCGAACCCAGGCCCTAGGAAAACAGTAGAAGCTGCTAGTCTATGAAAATGATCAGGTGTTAGATGTTTCTAATGTGGATCGTAAAATGTAACATGCAGAAAGAGAAATCGAGAACATCTACAGGTATACCTAGCACTTAATCCATAGTTGTAAAAATAGTTAGCTTGCTACATTGATTGTACAAAAACCACTCACGGATCCAGAAACTTGGCAAATATGTACTTGCTGAATATTGATATAATTGAAAAGAAACAGCGCTCAGTGTTTGTATTTTGCGGATCAAATTTCAGAACCATGTTATTTTCTAACAACGCAAATAACGTTTTGTTATAAATGTGCTATAACTGACTACGTATTTAACTATTTAATATGCTCACATGCTCTTAAAAAAGCTCACGACCTTTTATGAAGCTAAATAGTGTAAAATCCGAGAACTACCGCATAGGTCGATGTATTTTTCACCTCGTCTGATATTTGGAGAAGGAATAAGTGACTGAAATACAACTTAGAAATCAAATATATCATACAGGTAAAAAAAGGTTATGGAAAAACAAAGCTGGTCAAAAATGTTTGTAATGGAAGATGAGTGGAAGATTACGACTGTTGAAAAACCTTTTTAAGCATATTTTGGAATATTCACGAGCTAAGTGAATATAAGACAGCAATTAGTCGATAATTTTGGATCGACTATTATTTGCTACATACAATTAAATACACAGTATTAAAGAGATTATTATCATCAAGAAACGTTACTTTGTCAAAAATTGTCGAAAAGCTCTGGACGCAAACACACTAAAGAGAGGTTCATAAATTAGACTTTGAGGCACATTTGCTGTATAAAATACGCTAATTAAATGGCTAGACTACAATTCAAAGGTTGTCACATCAAATCCCAGAATCGTAGAGGTGGTAACAGTATTAGTGGTAATAAGAAAGAAGATAGACGATATAACTCGGAAATAAAATAAAAATTAACGAAACAGTTATGAGGGATTTAGAATCTCAGAATTTGGGGGAAGACAAAGAATGGATGCACATGGGCCATTGCAAACGATTTTGATTTATGTCGTTAAAAACCTCTAACCATTGGCTACGATAATCACGCGCACCCCAACCAGGTGGTCTACACCTAATAACTTGGGTAAGTCCGATTTCCAGTGTCTACATGGTCTGATGCCATTTTTTGACTAGTCCGGTCAGCCTACTCCTAAACCAGAAAACAACGCACATCGAGGTAGGCGGTGGTTGAAGATATGCAACACATCTCCCAACCATCTCGGTTGAAGATTTACTACCTTATCAATCGACCTACCTTCTTTGCCTTATACTCTATTATTAACCCAAGCATTGTTTACTATACTCCCAAAATACAAGAGCAGTGCCTCGTCGAAACCTATAACAGAATACCAATAACGTACGAATATCCTCTACTATTAATAGCCATGTTTTACATCCATGAAGTAGAAGGGGAGAACTCTGTTTGGTCGGAAGACGCATATCTCACCTACACCACAAATGACACTAATATTTTAGATACTATATTCAACTGGTTCCTCTGAGATTGTTACAAGAGAATTTTTGTCCTTTCTTATAAACTGGGACGATCAGGGATCGAAACCAGTTAGATGGGATTACATCCAGTTACCAGATTTTAAATAAGATTTCAATTAGTGGAGCTGCTAAAACTGGACCACCAACCTTAAAAATCTCGGGTGTTAGTCAATTAGGCCCTGGTGCTATCCATCACTTAGATTACCAATAACCTTATCAACCTCATTAAGATTTCAAGCACTTACATCAGTTTGCCTTCAGGTTACTTGGAGATAGCAGGTTACTGAATTACCACTAAAGGCCATTCCCCTAGTGTTTTGCCAATCGGTTCAATCTCCTGGATCGAGAGTTGATAATAGTCCTGGCGGATCTTTAATACACGTTTCTTTGATAAGTCTGGATAGTAATCTACTGTGACCCACCGCTGTTTTTTTCATCTCTTCCGCTTTTGCTACTCACCACTAATCACGATCATTAGGTAGGCTTTTTATAAACTTAAGTAAGGTGCCTTTGCTCCAAATCATGTTCAGAACCAGATGTAATGAGTTTCCAAGCATCTGTCAGGTTTGTAGACGGAGCTGAAGTCCATTGATTCTTCCTAAACTTGTGATTTAAGTTTCTACGGTCATACGACTTACGTTCAGGGTGATCTAGAGGAAGCAAAAAACCAATACGCCGTCAACTACATATATCGTCTCGAAGTATTCCGAGAACTATTTTAACATCTTATGGAATTTCACAGATTCTATTTTGAATACGAATAAAAATTTATATTGATTATATAAACATTGTAAGTTGCTAGGAAAATATCTTGAATAATATCACAGAGAAGGAACAGATATTTGATCGACTTACCACGTTTTAAACAAGAAATTATAGTTGGTAAATGGCTATGACTTCTCCTTAATAAACTTTTTACTTCTTTTTTCGACATAGATTCATAATTATCAGGCAGGTTCGGAGCTGGTTCAGGTAATGTACGCCTGCTAAATGATATACGATATTCTAAATAAATTTTTGAATTCTTCAAACTTTTGGGCGATTTCTTCTGATGGGACGTATGCGATTGTGTAGTTTCATCAACAGTTGTATTACCGTCACTTAGATCTAAACTACATGCTGAGGAATCATGACAGTTTTTGGTTATTGGATGAGATGGAGACAAAACTGCTGATGAATGAGTAATTGGTACAGGTTGACGTTTATGCCATTCGCATAGATATCTTAAGGTGTTTGGGTTTTCAGGAACTTTTTGGGCATAACTAAGTAGTAAGGCATGTGCACGTGTACATTCATTAAAATATTGCAGTATCTACGAGTACAAAAGGAATTAAACAAGCAATAGTAAATTAGTTCATATTAGATATGAATTGAAGACAATGAGGATTAGATGGAAATATTGACTGATAAATGGTTATTCAAAACTATTGAAATATGAAGTGAGATATATTCATTTAAATATAAGGCAATAAGAGGAAAATTACTTCAACAAATGCTCTGACAAAGGTATCGCATAAATGACCCTCAGAAACGAGAGCTTCAACTTCCTGTAATCGATGATAAGCTTTCTCAGCTAAATTATCGGCTGTCATATGAATATCATCGGGATCACCTAAAAATGAGATCAAAAGTAACGAAGTCAGATTAAATTATACGGTTATAATGGATTGGAAATGGTCAACTTCGTGATGAAGAAGACGGTTATACCTAAAATTCAGTGCAATGTGTCATATATTTTACACAGATACTTAATCTACCTGGGTTACAGTTACAGCACATTTAAAATTTTATAAAAATTGTGGTCGGAAATATTATTCCGTCTTAAATCAGAGTTGTCAATCGTACTGCACAGTATTTTTTCGCTTAAAAATTGAACAGGAAAGAAAACTAACAGTCATTCGTTAGCAAAAAATTTAAAAGGTTGAGTAAACCTGACAAAATTTGGCTTTCAAATATTTATTGGGAGACAGGTATTTTTTGGTCTTAATGGTTCTTCTAAACGGACGATAGATAGTGTTTCAGAACTTACTAGCTGATACTAATGAATTAATTTGTTTAAGCCACATTCCATAAAAGCTGTAACCTTCATAGAGTCTTTGTAATCGCTGAACATGTGCGAATTCTGGCTCTCTAGTCAAAACTGTATGAAGACTTGCATATTTATTTCGTTGAACAGGCTGTAACAAAAAAGGGAATAACAAGTACTTTTAGCAATATATTGTTTATACTGAAATATTCGTTTATGAAAGCAGTTTCACTCGTGAATGACTATTTTTTTATCGTATAATTTCCTATTTATACTTGGTTAATTGCAAGCTGATTTTTTGTTAGTTGATATATCTTTTAAATGTTTGACCATAGCCATACGGTTATCCAGGAAAACAGAGAGGACTATTTAACAGTATGCCTGTTTTTTAATAGGGGTTCGGATATCTTGTCAAAACCAGGAAAACAACTGAATTAAGTTCCACACTTCGATGTTCTGTTGCTGATGAGATTCCAGAAACAAGTGAGAGAACAATTTTAGGAAGTTGAAATCAAAGAGTTTGCCCTTTCCAAGCTTTAATTAGGGGTTAGAACTCTGGAAATTTAAGAACTATGTTAGTCAAAATGATTCTGTTGTGATTACTCGGAAACTATTTTCGCTCTATTTTTGTTTACTAAGATCATAAGCTGTCAAGACCACTGAAAATATATTGTTAAATATCTAAAGGTCAGCCCATGCTCCGTTTGTTTGTCAAACATTTAAGAAATGAATCTTTAAGAACTTTCCATTTAATTCATTTTCAGCTTGCTATAGAATAATGAACTGCAGTAAAAAATATATAAACGATTTCATTGTCTCATTCTGATTATAGCTGGATAGTGGTTGAAAGTAAAGCGGCTGAAGAGCAGTTGTCATATCCTCTGAAATGTTATGTCAATTGTTGCAACCTGTTGCTCATAAAATGCATTACTGACATAATTATTTCGCTAAACATTTATTAATTGGCTTTACCGATAACACATCCCATAAAAGTGATTGGCCAATGATGGAAGATAGATATATCCCGGTACATTAAATATAATGGACGATTTGTTTTGAATGAATTCCACTACTGAAATCACTTACAGCTTCTCTGCACTTTTTATTAATGTGTACTCCTATAAAGGTCATATAGTTTTCAATCAAACGATCGAATCACATGATTTCCACAAAAAACTCAAACTACGTCAGCAACGACTATTGTCTATTTTCAATACATTTTCTCGATTTGTTTTCACTATTCACTAACCCAAAAACTCGTATTTCATTCGGATTTGGGTTGCCTTTGGTCCTTATTTCGGCTACAGGCATTGACAACAAAACTAAAAAAACTCCAGAAAATTACTAGTTGTTACCAAATTTTGATTATACGCCACTTGGTAAATGTCAACTTCCCATAAAAGTTAACTATTTTCTTCTCAAATTGGTTTTTAAAATTCTCGTCTCTAAATCAATCAAAAGTAAACTTCAGGGGATGTGTATGTTTTTATCCAGAAGCATATTCACACACGCAAAATCGAAGTACAGTGGCACCGATGCATTCACTCATTGTATTTTCCTAAGCCTTAGACTGAAACTTAATTTCAAATCTTTTATTTATCGAATTCATCCCTTTTTTAAAACCATACTCTCCAATGTTTATTATTTTTGGTTATCATCGACATTACTACCAGTTTCGTTTCGTTTGGTCGATGTGGTATGGGAGACTTGGGTTAAAGCTAGTCTAGAGACTGAAGACCATTCAAATTCGAATGAAATACGAGTTTTTGGGTTAGTGAATAGTGAAAACAAATCGAGAAAATGTATTGAAAATAGACAATAGTCGTTGCTGACGTAGTTTGAGGAAAATACAATGAGTGAATGCATCGGTGCCACTGTACTTCGATTTTGCGTGTGTGAATATGCTTCTGGATAAATACATACACATCCCCTGAAGTTTACTTTTGATTGATTTAGAGACGAGAATTTTAAAAACCAATTTGAGAAGAAAATAGTTAACTTTTATGGGAAGTTGACATTTACCAAGTGGCGTATAATCAAAATTTGGTAACAACTAGTAATTTTCTGGAGTTTTTTTTAGTTTTGTTGTCAATGCCTGTAGCCGAAATAAGGACCAAAGGCAACCCAAATCCGAATGAAATACGAGTTTTTGGGTTAGTGAATAGTGAAAACAAATCGAGAAAATGTATTGAAAATAGACAATAATCGTTGCTGACGTAGTTTGAGTTTTTTGTGGAAATCATGTGATTCGATCGTTTGATTGAAAACTATATGACCTTTATAGGAGTACACATTAATAAAAAGTGCAGAGAAGCTGTAAGTGATTTCAGTAGTGGAATTCATTCATTAAAAATCGTCCAGTCTGGTCTTTATGTCGATTGTGATTGACTGAGGCAGGAACTGAGTCCAAAAAGGGTTTTATAAACAGAGACAAATTTCCGCTAATCATCTTCAGGAGTAACTGACATATAAATTTATTTTCATACATCACCGAGTTACCATTATCTTATGTGATACTTATGCGGACACATACGTAATATGTATCAGCAATCGGCAGTAGGATTATTACTAACAGAAGAGGAAAGTGAGAAGAGTAAGAAAAACAGAAGCAGTTGGAAAAGCAACAGGATTGGATGAACGATGGTGTGTAAGAGACAATTCAAGGAAGATGTCTAAATGGTGTGTTAAATGTATTATTTTCATACTTTATAAATACAAAGTTGGTTTCCTCTAATCAAATCTTCGTTCATCACACCATCAGTGGTCACCAAGCTTATTATTGTGAATGGGGTTTTTACTATCCAATCGAGTGGGTGCTAGGCGTTCAAAGTGAAGCTTAGAATTACCACACTAGTTGTCTGAAATCAAATGTCTAATATCATTAAGATTGTGTCTATAAAACACGACCTTTATATGTAGATCTAGTTCATATTTTCTAGATTAAGAAGTTTATTCTTCCATTTGAAACTGTAGTTTTGAATGTTTAAATGTACGGTTTGTAGAACTAAATCAAAAAGGGGGTGATTTGTAGCAAACTCGATATCTCAACACAAATACTATGTAAATGTTGAGGAAATTGTTGGGGTGATAGAATAGCAACAAGAACCAATAAATATGGATAGACTTGGTAGGAAAATAGAATTCTATTTGGAATAAAGTGAGCAGGTAGCTGGCAGTTCTAAGATCCCTCCATATTAGGTATGATTTATGAGCGTCTTGCCAATGTATGAATAGAAAACATCCACAAAACGAGCAAAAAAGATTAGAATGATATATCAGAGAAGACTTCATAAATTAGTGAGTAAATGGTAAAAATACACGCAGCGAAAAGTGCAACTGACGAATCGAGATTCTTGAAAATGAATTTAACTTGTCAAAATTCCAGTAAACATAACAGACGGAAACAATGGGTTGTATTTTTAAATCATTTCCTAAGAGTTCGTAAGAGCTTTCACCTGAAGCATATTAAACAGTAAGATTGTCGGTGGTAACAATCCCAAAGATAAATAGAAATAACTCGAAGTTAGTAATAATAATGTATCGATTCAAGTTCACATATAGGATAGTAAATAAAAACTAACAAGAAAATAGGTGTGGTTTCGTAAAAATCTTTTTCATCTCCCATGAATTTTTATTAATAATGATCAATGGTTACCATAATAATCTCCATCAACAATTTGAGAGGATAATTCCACTGGAGTAACCATATTCTGAGTTGTAGAATAAGATTGTAACTTGCAAAAAATAACCAGGATAGGGATTCAACGTACCTGTATATTTGTGCGACAAAACTGTACAGCATTCAAGTTTCCTTTGCTGATCTCATATAATATAAACTCTAATATACGGTTATTTTCATCACTCAGAAGAAACCCATCCAAAACCCTGAAAAAGCAAAATTAAAAATCATTACAAGACATATCTACAGGAAATAAATTGATTTTGTTTAAGTTCAATGTATACTGTATAGTGTAACACAAACTTGTAACACTGTGGGTAACGCCTAAACAAATTTTTAAGACGAAAGCCACTCATAATAAGTTCAGAAAATCTTTGGAATCCAACCTGTTTATGACTGGGTTGTAAAAAACACCGTCTAACGACGTAAAAATACTGAGATTTTACAGTATATGATAGTTCTCATTAGGCGTATCCTTAGTCGGTACCAACCACATATATACTACATAAAAAAGGTACAATTGTTTTATATAAATGCATTACAAACCTTGCTTTCCTCAAGATAGTCCTAGAAGTCTTTAGACGAAAAAAAATCCTCAAGTCACCTACCTTACATAATGTTTGAAATGTTGTGCATGCAACGCTTTTATATGGTTTAACTTGAAACCATAGTTATATCACTGAAAAATAATCTCTCACTATTATAACGGGATAAATATCGAGAAAGTTGCGATCTGAGAAACAATCTTATGAAGAACTATATCTTAATTGTATAACATCTGGATTATTGAGTCATTGTGTGCTCTTAATTGTAACCATTTGTTTGTTGTATAAACTATTGTCTATTTTACCTTTCTCAAGTTACCGTCAATTAATCCTGAACCTTACACTTAGCTTCACATCCACAATACTACTGCTCTTATTATAACGGCCTGGTTTCACGGACTCCAATACAATACAAGAACCTGATATTTCTGAAGATATAACAGTTAACTACTAGTAGAGATGATTTGTTTGTTTAGTTACTCAACTTTCAATACTTGGGTTACAGGTTTGGACATTCATTTGACCTATCATGGGGTAGTGTCATTACATTAAACACGATAGACAACTTGTGAACTCACATGGGGTTACCAGTTTTACAAGGATAGATAGTCAAAGTGTTAATATGAGAGTGTAATATGCTCGCCGTAAGAAGATTGTAGACGTCTAACTCATGATAGATTACTTCGGAGATAGAACCTATAACGTCAATAATTTACAGGCTACCATTTTCGGTCCCAAGTACGGACAGTGCATGAGAATATAAGAGTATTTTAACTTAAAAAGTTCCCAGTCAGTCAGCTACAACGTAGGACCAGGTAAATATATGTATCGGTCCAAGTTGCCACACCGCGTTAGCACAGCAAGCTGAACACCGGATTCATAGAAGTAGTTAATTCGGTGGTGATAATATTATAGAAGAAAGATTGCATATAAGGTTATAGTACAGGAAGAAAGAATTGGCTGGTAGAAAGAAAAATATGAAGCGATTTTAATCTCACAGTTTAAGGGAAGACAGTGTATACACCGACACCATTGTGATCGATTCTGAGCCGTGTCACACAGTCTCCAACCATTGGTTATGATCGTCACGCGGACCCCAACCAAGTAGTGTGCATCCACCAACATGGCTCAGATCAGAAGTTAGTGACCACAAGCACTGATGCCACGTTTTGATTTGGCCGCCCTTAACTTTCTTCCAACCATCCCCTACACTATTCAGCTTTGCGCGTCGTTGTAATCGGGGTTCAGGCATACGCAACACGTGGCCCAACCACCTCAGTCGATGAAGATTCACAACCTCATCAATCGATTTACCATCATTCCCTAATACTCTGCGTCTAATCTCACTATTACTTACTCAGTGATCCCAGCAGATGCCAGAAATATTTCTAAGGCATCTGTGGTCAAATACTAGTAGCTTACGAGTATCTTCAACTCTTAATGGCCATGTTTCGCAGCCGTAAAGTAAAACAGAACGGACTGCCGCGCAGTATACTCGTCCTTTTATTGATAGACGGATATCTCGCCTTCGTCATAGGTGATGTAAGTTGGCAAAAGCCAAACGAGCTTTTCGAATCCGTGCTGAGATTTCGTCAGACACAAACCCATTGGGGCTGATTAGACTTCCAAGATAAGTTAATATATCTGGTATAGCATCTGAACACTGAAAGCTCCAACATTTAGTTAAGAGCATGGTTTCATGAAACAAAGAATAACACTTCGTGGACTCGGATCTTAGCATTGGTGGAATACGGTGATAGCCATACGAGGAGAGTTAATCGTGGAGGCAGGCGAAGCACTAAGAGGTGAGAGAGGGATTGGACCATGAACAAAATAGTCTCTGATGCTGTTAGAGGTATGGAGACGGTTGTCACTTCCCGATAGTTTACACTGTAGAAGGATATATTTTCTTCGTGGACTTAAAAAAGAAACTGTGTTAAGGATGGTCATGAATAACCTGGGGGCGTAACCCCAGAGCCAAAATAATAACTGATTGACTCAGATTACACATGAACTTTATACCGGAAGTTTTAAATGTATTGGTCGCCTTCGTAACGCAACCGGTTAGCGCGTTCGGCTGTTAACCGAAAGGTTTTCCCCGAATGCCCTGGTACGGCCGAGAGTGGGGAGAGTCCGCTCTCCCTCTCGAAATACTCTCACACGGCCGCGCATATACAGCCTCTGTCAGGGAAGTCCTACTCATTGCCATCTCGTGGCGGGGGTCTTGTTTACGAAAATGAGAGGACGAAAAGCGAATGTCAGGCGCTTTAACCCGATCCCAAACCAATGGTGCACATGGGTTCCAGTATCCTGCGGGAACAAATGGCGTATGAACCAATCGTTGGTCACCGGCTACCATGGGACTGCATCTCCTTACGATGCTCCACTGCCTTGTGGGTTAGACGTTTAGGTCAAAGGCTCGGGGAGTGGCCCCCTAAGATAACCACCTGCTTCGGTCTAGGCACCCGGGCAGTATCACAGCCCACACACAAATGATGAACTCTATATGTTTATGGAAATTACTTTTCTCGCTTCAAAAAACAATCAATCGATTCAAATTATCATTACAATTATTGTCATTGTTAATACTATTATTATTATTACTATTATTGTCATTACTATTATTATTATTTTCCACATTATTCACCCTATTTTATACTTATACAGCGGCTCGTCTTTGGTGGAAATTCGACTCTATCTAAACGTTCTCGAGTCACTGTCCGGTTGAAATTGTATATTACCACCGAATATGAGTACTGAAGCAGTTTTTCTGAAACCACGTGCACCACTCAAACTGGCTGCCTTCAACGTTCGCACACTTATGCAGGTCGGACAACAGATAGGGCTGGCTATGTCTTTGGAAAGTCTTAATATCGATGTCTGCTGTCTATCCGAGACCCGTATTCAAGACTCTGGTGAAGTACTACAAATTCGCTCTACATCTGTCACTTCAAAAAGCTTGTTTTACGTGCGCTTATCCGGGGACCCTGTGGCATCTTCGTCATGGTCTTGCTGGCGTTGGTGCCGCACTAAGTGCTAGAGCTGAGCCAGCACTAATCGATTGGATCCCCATTCACAGTCGGTTATGTGCTGTTAGATTAGAAAGTTCCATCAAAGTGAGAAGAAATCGGCGCGAGAAACGATGTCTTTTCGTCATCTCCGCCTATGCCCCGACAGATTGCAGCCCGGATGCAATCAAGGATGAGTTTTACCACCAGTTATCTGTTCTTCTCCAGAAAGTGCGTTCGACAGACATTGTAGTACAAGCCGGAGACTTGAATGCTCAGGTCGTGCGTCTAGGCACAGAAGAGAATCGTTTAGGTGGCCGATGGGAACTCGTTGATCGCAGGTCAGATAACGGGGACCGTCTACTGCAACTTTGCACAGACCACAACCTGTTTCTGGCTAGCACTAACTTTCGGCACAGTCATCGCCGATGTGCCACCTGGCGTCCTCCCTCTGCATCTCAAGCCTCGACTCAGATTGATCACATCGCGATCAGCTACGGCTGGCGTGGTTGTGTACAAGACTACCGCTCCTTTTGGAGTACCTATCTGGACTCTGACCATGCCTTGGTCTGCGCCAATCTTGCCTTACTTTTCAGTGGACAACGAAGTGACCGCCACCAACGGATTGATATTAGCAAGCTGGTTGCAACTTCTGTTGCAAGTAAGTATCGAATCGAGCTAGCCTCTAGGCTAGCTACCATACCACCGAAAAGTATAGATGAGCATTGGTTGCAATTGCATGACGCCATGAAAATGGCGGGTACAGGCAGTTGTGGGTTCGCGAAACGTTCCGCTTATAAGCATTGAGTTTCTTCCGGCTCCTTACAACTCATTGAAGCCCGTCGGTCTACTCCGGGTGACCGTGAGTTTGACCACAAACGAAGGGTGTTACGTAAGGAAATTGGGCAAAGCTTGCGTAAGGACCGAGAAGCCTGGTGGTCGAAGCGTGCTAATGAGCTGGAAGCAGCAGCTGCATCTGGTAATGACCGGAAGCTCTTCCAACTCATCCGAGCCACTGGCAGCAAGTCTGGTGTGAGTGAAACAATCTGTGAGGATGACGGGATGCCAATCACTAACATCCATCGACGTCTTGGACGATGGGCAGAATTTCTCGAAGGGCAGTTCAACTGGCCTGCTGCTCCGGCAACATCAGTCAGACTGTCCTGCCCTCCATGGCCGGTGACGACTGATCCACCGAACGAAGAGGAAGTCCGCAAGGAACTCCAACTCTTGAAGCGTTACAAATCACCTGGCCCAGATGACTTACCTCCGGCTCTTTTTAAAGATGACTGAACCGTTTCGTCTTGACTACAATCCCTTTCGTTCTTTTATTACTTCACAATTATATTTCCTTATTGTGTGGCCTATTTATTTTAGTGCCCATTTGTTTCAGAATGTACGTGTACGAAACAGACAGGATAGTATCAAGACGTTACTCAGCTCCAAGTTTAGAGGTTAAGCGTTCACTGATAACTTATTGTATAGGTAAGGACGCCAAAATGCAGATAAAGCATAATACTTTTAAAATAAAACGGATTTCACGAAAGTCCACTTACCTACTAAATGATCTCAACCCAACATCATCTTTCAAACACTGGAATATATGGAATGCCACCTAAACAAATAAGCGGTAAAAGTAGAAAACTAACCCGCCATATCCAGGTCGATGACATTGGATATGCATGGATTGAGTGAGCTAGTAATCTAGCAGCCTCTTTAAACTTGTGCCTCGACAAAAAGTACCACATAGCACAAATAACGCGAGCTTTCTCGGAATATAGCAGTCTAAAATCCTCTAAAATGAGACGGTGGAAAGTGAACACAAATGAAGATAAATTTTACTGCAAAACAGAAGTCAAACGAAGCATTAGTCGAGGCTATATCAGAATCTAAAAAGTGAACACAAGACTCATATTTGCATATCTATTAGATGACCTCACAAAAGTATCGACTGGATTAGGTTAAAAACGAGTGTAACGAAATGAATGCATGTGGTTTTAATGATTACGAAATAAAGCTACAAGTCGAGAATAATAATCAAATCCCTTATGGTCTATTGGGCACCACTACGAGGAATCACTGACCGATGAACTGATAATTTAAAGAATGTAGTTAGTCCATAATTGACACCTCTTAGAAAACTGTGGTTATGTGTAAATTTATATTGAACCAAAACTTCTAGGAACTTACCAGATGTGTTCAGAGTGCAGTAAGATTCCTTTCCCAGCCAGCCGTCATAAAATCCATCCCTGCCGAGATTTAAAATAAACTGGCAGAATCGACGAAGTCTTAAGAAGTAAAGTTTGTTTCTACCATAAGAGTGGAGACGATCAAGCATGGTTCCACTTGAACTACTGGATAACTGAAAGAATTAAAATTATTAGGCTATTGGGTATTTCGTTTTTTTTCACGTGAGGTTACAACATTGACACCTAAGAAGAACAAATCCAATACAATAAACAAAGTCGAACAACAAAGAAAAATATAAAGCGACTTAGTGATTCCTATTGATTCTAACAAAATGGCGTAGTTTAGAAATCCTAAAGTAGGAAACATGATTTTGAGTTATGAATCTCAATCAGGTACTTGTTTTCCTCGAAATCTATTGAAACCGACAAAGAAATAAAATTTTAACTGGACAGGTGTGATGGATCACTGTACAGAATAACTAACTCAGATCAACATTCGTATATTACAAGGGAGAAATTTACGACTCAGTCGTGAGGTAGACTTGTGTATGGAAATGAATCAAATCGACTACGATTATATCAATTCGACACTCTTTAAATGAGGTAGGATTGAAAACTGAGATTCATTTGTTAAGGGATATCATTAGATTCGGTACTTAGTAATTCGTTCACTCTATTTCGAGTTATTTTCAACCTTGATTTTTACTGATAGTATTTACTTTAGTATAGTACACGCCCATAGACTTGCATCCTATATGATCGGTTAAGTTTTCACCACAATGTTAAGCACGACGGGTCTTACTCACTAAAACCTTAAAGCCTCCATCATTGATACATATACTCAAGAATAATAATTTTAGTGGTGTGTAGTCCCCAAATAAAACTCACAGAAAAGGAAATCAATACCGAATAAAAGTGAATTTAAGATTCCTAGTAATAAAATGTAAATATGCAGAAACCAAAACCGAACATGAAAGAGAACCAAGGTTGGGACAGGTATAAAACAATATACTTGAATCTGGCTCCCATTTTCGTCATTCATCACAAAACTGACCGACCAACGGAGAATTTGGTTCCCAAACATGTGCGTGCGCTATAAGCTGAATAGTTCTGAGCTGGTAGCGAAAGCTCTAAAGCATACATTAACGTATCCCACAGCCATATTTTATGCATGAGCGGATTTTGATTGGCCAAATAAATATTTTGAGATTTTTCATCAACTGGGAAGCGTAGTTACACAGTGACTACCACTTTGACACAGAAAACAGAGCCCACAGTGGCATGTTAGTAACCATCACTATTGGAAAAATAAACAACGAACTAATACTGACAAGTTGGGCTCGCATACGTAAACTGCTTACACACACTCGTGTCAAATTAAATTAAAAACCGATAAGGCAAGAACCTTGCAAAACATAAAAGTTAAGGTGATAAATTTCTTTATTTGTCGCGGATTGTTTATCATAACTTTAAGTGAGAAAATGAACGTGATACTAGATTTACGACAATTCGTAACTTCTTGTAGGTTACTTCTCTAGAAAACATATAACTTAAATGGAAAGAACCTACCCAACAACTGTAACGTACACCTTCAAACTTTCGACTTTTGGCAATATAAAGGTTATTTATTCTCTGAACCCGTGATTTAAACACAACCATGTAAGAACAACTAACGAAAGAACCAATAGTAAGTGACTTCTAGGCCACGATAAATCACGCTTAAGAAGGCTGTTATTTTCTTTGGAATGACTTACAGGATTCCAGTATGTCAGTCTTCAGTCTTCAGTAATAAGGATAGTAGGTTGATGAACCTATGTTAATCCTGACACATTGCTTTCCAGTGAAGGTCCAGCTTTTCCTTGAAAGTATTCACTGATGGGGCTGATACCACTTGTTCGGGTAAGGCGTTCCAATGATTGACTACTCGATGAGAAAAACGGGATCCCACTTTAAGTTTATTAGATCGTGGTTTATGAACCTTCTTGCTATGACTTCGGAGATCATTAGTGCTGGAGAGAGCAAAAAGATAAGACATATTAACACCCAAATCATAATTAAAGATACGAAATGCCAGTATAAAGTCACCTCGTGTCCTACGATACGACAAGGGGAAAAGATTTAGGCGTTTTAAGCGCTCATCGTAAGGGAGTCTAGAAAGACCCTTCACTAATTTCGTTCTCACACGCTGGACACGCTAAAGGGAGTTAGTATCCTTTACTAGACACGGGCTAACTGCTTGGATACAGTACTCTAAATGTGGTCTAACATATATGGGATATGAAATTCGAAACGTTTCCTCGTCAAAAGATTTGAACGCTCGGCGAAGTGACCATAACGCACGAAAACCTTTGACAGAGGCTGCTTTGCAATGCGCAGTTGTTTTTAAGTCATGACTTAATATTGCTCCTAAGTCCGTATGCTCTTGAACGCATGGAAGAGGTTTGCCCTCAATAGTGTAACGGTAACTATTACCGTGACCGACGTGCATTAGTACACTCTTCCTAGCATTGATTTCTAAGCCCCACTCTCGAGCCCATCTAACTAAATCGTCTAAGTCAGCTTGAAGATACACATGATCAGCCGCACTTTTTATTGTTCTCCAGATTTTTACATCATCTGCAAACAATAATGTCGACGACCTAATTAACAGTGGTAACTCATTAACGTAGAGAAGGAAGAGCAGAGGGCCTAAGATGGTGCCTTGGGGTACATCACTTTTGACCGGCTTCCAATCGGATAGCGTTCCATTGACCCTAACTCTCTGTCTGCGGCCACATAAGAAATTTCCTATCCACTCATGTTCCGAAGCTCATGAGCTTCTGCATAAGACCTACGTGTGAAACCTTGTCAAACGCTTTGCTAAAATCTATGAATATCACGTCGACAGACAGACCGTGATCTAGGGCTGCTGTCCAATCCTCCCTCGCAATAAGCAAGTTAGTCAAGCATGAACGCTTGTTACGAAATCCGTGTTGCTCAGGAGCTAACAGATTGTGTAAATCTATGTGGCTTAGCAACCTAACCCGAATTATCTTTTCGAGTAACTTAACGACTATGCTAGTTAGACTGACAGGCCGGTAGTTAGATACTATCTGTCGCTGACCGTCCTTAAATATAGGACTAACTGTAGCGTCCTTCCAATCTCTAGGGAGTTGAGCGAGTGAGAGAGACATGTTGAAGAGTGTCGCAAGCGGTTTTGAAATAATGTCCGCAAGAGATGACAGCAACCGTGGATGTAACCCATCAGGGCCCGGTATCTTACCAGGTTTGAGGTTAGTTATCAACGGAAGGACAGTTTCCTCAGTCACCTGTACAGATTCAATGGTTGGTATCTCGGTGTGAGTGGGACAAGTATTTGTTACAATAATCGTAGTGTAAGATCCATTTTGAAGGTTTTATGTGTTGGTGAAAATCCCTCCATGTATATACTTGTACTTTATTCCTATTGATCACATTAGTTGTACATTATTGTATTTTGATTACATTTGAATTGTTAATATTTATATTTTTGTTATAGTTTTTGTTTTTATTACGCATTCACTAAGTTTGTGTTTCTTCCTGAACTGCATCTGCGTTGTTTTACTCGACACTTGTTCTTGGCGGTAGCCATATTGATTTGTTCCTCCTGTTGTGTGTGATCTATCCAGTCAGGATAGAATAACGTTCATTTGTTGTGATTGGTAATTTTTCCTCATCTTCTATCAACTTCTTCATTCATTGTAGTTTAGATTTAATTGATTGAACAATCATTGGTTGAATAGCCGGGTGATAATATTTGTTTAGGTAATGATTTACATTAAATTTATTATGAATTATAGAACCGCTATTTACTCAATTACTTGTGTTTGATTTCGACGGGAAAGGGCGCGTGTCTAAAGTCCCCGGTCGGCTATTCTTCAGCATCCAAACCGTAGTTTGGATTCTACACTTAGAGAAGACTTCGCTAAAATAATCTGAAAATGTCTCAGCTTTTGCTCGATCTGATTCAGCTAGTAATTCTGAATTTTCGTGTAACAGCAACGGGGGAATACCATCACTACGTTTCATTTGCCGTTTAACATACGAAGACAATCGTTTCGGACAAGTAAGGCTATCATATACTAACTGTCGTTCGTAAGTGGTACGGGATTTCGCTATGGTTTTCTTACAGATATTACGGTATTTTCGATACTCACGCTTAAATGGTGCATGACCTGTCAACAAGAATAAGTCCCAGAAATGTTTCCTACGCTTTAACAGCTTCCGGGTTTCCTTATTAATCCATGGAGGGCAATGTGATAGCTTACGTGCTGACCATGGGATAAACAACGACGTTACGGACTCGAATGTAGCCTTAAACTTATTCCATTCATCTTCGATCAATACATCTGCGTCGACCGACCAATCAGTCGAGATAGCACGGTCTCTGATTTCCGGAATATTAGCCCGTCAGATATTGGGACGGGGTGGGGCAGATACGAATTGTATACCATGTGTCCTAAACTTAAAGTGAATTACAACGTGATCACTGTTCACTAGTGGAGGAAGGTGCTGGATATCAAAGACATCCTCAGAGTGGTGGGTGAGGGCGAGGTCCAGCAGTGACGGAACGTGTTGCAAATCAATATGTGTCAGTTTTGTGATACATTGTACAAGTGCACACTGAATAACGGTAGATAAAAGGTCGCTATCGAAACCACTACCTGGAGCTGTAAGCTCTATCCAGTTGATATGCGGTGCGTTGAAGTCCCCAATGATGAGAAAACATTCTGCCATACTCCAAGAACAGATGTTCCTTAGGATAAAGTAATCAGCAAGACAAGACGGACTAAGGTATATTCCCCCTATAGTCACTAACCCATTTCTAGATTTAATCTTACAACATACAACCTCACATGTGCCACTGGTATGAGCCTCCGGTATGGTTAGTTGTATACGAAAGTGATCCCTAACGTATAATATTATACCTCCCCTCTTGCGACTTGAAACTCTATCACTTCTGATACAGATATAACCAGCAATGAAAGGAGAACAGTCTATATCAACGGTGAACCAAGTTTCTGTAACAACGATCATATCGGGACATAATTCTTGCACCATCAGGCTTAGCTCGGACGTTTTATTTCTAAGACTACGAGCGTTCGTGTAGCACACACTTAAGGTGTTTTGGAAATCAATCGTTCTACCCATACAGGCCTCGGAAGCATTGGCTTCCAAGACCTGACTACCCGAAAACCCTTAATGGTAAGGTTATTTTCGCCATTTAATTTGCGAGTCCTCAACTCCGTAAGAGCATTCTTCCACTTGATTCGATCCTCAAGCGGCCAATCTGGTCGAATACGGATATTTGAGTCACGAGTTTTTAGTGCGCCTTTCAATAATATGTCTTTCTTCAAAACTCCCGAGAACCAGCTTCAGGATTCTTCTTGGTTGGGTCTCGCCTCCAACCCATTTACCAAGTCGTATTACTTTTGTCATATGTACCCCTGAAACCTCTTCAGGTAGTGCATTCCTTAACACAGACTCCACTAACTGCAGGTCATGTGCGTGTCTTTTAGCAGGGTCTTTGTCTTTCGACTCCTCTAGATTCCAAATAATTAAACTAGGGAGGGGTTTAGCTTCTTTTGAAACTGTGTTCACAGCTTTCGACCGTGATGTTAGATCCTGTATTTTAACTACTGGTATCTTACGATTAGTTTTTATCTTAACAGAGTCCTGGGAGTCGAGCGAATGACTCACAACAATGTCAGACGAAGCTTTACTATGAGACTTTGGCGGATTGGTCTGAGAGTCCACCAAGGACATACCAAGTAAACAGTCATTAGTTTTAGCTATCTTTCCTACTCTTCTGCGTTTTCGTGTCATCCATTTTCCATCAGTCGAAACGTCTACATTAGAACCACTCGGGACAGTAATTGTTTTATCTGGGTCATCGGTTGCTGCTGTAGCAATATGGCCACCAACGTCTAATGACGTGTCACTCACTGATCGTTTCGGGGGAGAACGTTTAACTGCGGGTTGCACAGGTAGATGTCTGGCTTGCGCCGTGATAGCACTTACGACACTAACGCAATATTCGCCATCCGTACCAATGTTGCCAGTACAGCCCTCATCAACCTTCTTATTAGCCAACATCAGGAGGTTAATTGCTTCCTGGATGAGTAATATTTTGCTCAAGCAACAAAAACTACAAAGCCAATGAGAGTTGGGCTTTGAACACCTCTTATATGCAGTGGGGCTTAATCGGGTGCACGTCTTATGGAACCACTTATTACACTCATCACATTGCATCCCTTCATCCACGGGAAATAAGCAGTATGATTGTCCACATTTATGAGTAGACCTAGCCATCTTGAAAATCAACTAGAACGGTGACGAAAACAGGATATGTAGAAGGATTTTCAAACCTTAACTAAATAAACCAAGTAAAAGTCGACCAAGTATGCTTCGATGCAATAAATACACAGAAGCGAAATCGAAAAACTCAATAAAATATCACTTTAACTGGGGTAGATGTAATTAAAGTGTAAACAGTAGTTTTGATGCGTAATTTACGATCAGAACAGTTAATTAACTCAACGAGAAACAATACCACTGTCCTTTTAAATAGAGCGCGCGTCCTAACCATACTAATAGTACCACTTTTCTGGTCTGAAAGCTCAGTAAATTGGTAGAATTTCTGTCTGAAGACTGAATTCGCTGACACTTATCGGGGATGGAAACGTTAAATAAGTGACATCTCTCACATAGAACAGAAAAGCGACGTTAGTAGGGTTTCGACGTCGCAACAACAAATATGTTCATAATAAACA